ACCCAGTCTCCAGGCTGGATGCGATGTGCTGGGACATCGGCAGGGAGGGGGTGGCTTAAAGCAGCATACCTATGGAGAGATTTTAACTGAGACTGTAGAGATAAAATATAAGAGGTGAGTCCTTCATCGCCTAAAAGAGAAGAAGTGTGAGCCGGTAGTAAGGGGAAATGTTGGGGAACAGGGTGTCCAAACAGCAGCTCGTAAGGGCTGAGCTTTAGTTTTTTTCCTGGGGGTTGATCTGATGGACATAAGAGCCAGTGGGAGAGTCTTAGTCCATTTTAACCCGCTCTCAGTACATAGCTTTCTAATTTTTTGTTTCAGGGTCTGATTCATTCTTTCTACTTGTCCTGAGCTTTCTGGGTGCCAAGGGGTATGGAATTTCCATTCTATTCCTAGGCAGCTAGTCAGTGTTTTATTTAAGTTAGCAGTAAAATGTGATCCTTGATCGCTTTTAATGATACGTGGAGGACTAAACCTGGGTATAATTTCGTTAAGGAGTATTTTTACTACTTGTGCTGTAGCTCTTCTGGTGGGGAAGGCTTCTACCTACCCCGTGAGTTTGGTCAACAATTACTAGGAGGTTTTTGTACCCATTGTCTTTAGGCATATCTGCAAAATTTATTTGTAGTCTTTTAAAGGGAGTATAAGCCCAGGGGCAGGCTCCAGGGGGTTCTGATTTTTCTCTTTTGATATTAAACTTTTACATATACTGCAGTGTTCTAAAAGCCTTTTTGCTTCCTGGTAGACTCCGGGTGCGTAGAACAGTCTATTAGTGATAGTAGCAAAATTCTTTTTGCAACTTAAAAGTTTGCTTTGGTGAAGTTGTTGTAGATAAGGTTTAAGGGCTGCTTTAGGTAGCACTATTCTTCTGTCTGGCAATCACCATATTCTATCCTTTTTAACTACTTTATTTCACAAAAGTTCAGGTACAGAAAAAAAAAAAAAAAAAAACCCTTCAATCTCACTAAAGAGAAACCATTCCAGGACATTCAGAACTTCACACCGTGACAAACACTTTCGCAGTAATATATATTATGCCTAACATTGCATATAGCTCTCGAGAAACAAGCAGTTCTACTCTTCCCTGTCTCATAGAACACATGCAAAAATTTTCGGCATTTCACTGAGAAAAAACAAAAGTAGCCTGGTAAGGGACCAGGGCACGGCACAAGCTGGAAGCCACAGTCTGCTACCGTGCCGAACTTCTCAGGCAGTGGTTCAGCTTTAAGTACTTTAAATGGAGTTACTACTGCATAACCCATTTTTTTTTTAACTCCGTTGACTATTTTTGAAGAGCTATTTACATAAAAAATTAAGTCAGGGTTGTCTAAGAGTAAGTTACTGAGATCTGCCCTGGGTTTGTCTGAAAATGCTGCAACTTGAAGGCAATCGTGGGAGTCTGGTTCCCCATCGCTGGGTAGAGGTAATAAAGTAGCCAGATTCAGGGTATTGCATGTCTCTATGACCAGGTTTGTAACCATTAAAAGTGTGGTTTCCTATTTGTTAATTCTCTGATGAGAAAAATGTTGAGTATTTTTCTGGAGGAGGAGGGCTACTGTGTGTGGAGCCTTCAGGATAAGGGGGTATCCGAGGACTAATTCCTGGGCTTTTTCGACTATTGTTGCAGCTGCTGCCACTGTGCGAAGGTAGCCTACTCCCTCCTTTGCCACTGGATCTAATTGTGCAGAGAAGTAAGTTGTGGGTAGCTTTATGATCTCAAAAGACTGGTTCTTCTGCATCTTTTGTTTTTCTTTCTTCCTTTTTTCTTCCCTTTCATTAAAAGTTTTAGTAGCAATGGCTAAGATTTTTTTGCCATGGATTTACTCTCAACACCCTCAGTGTCATGTTGGAGCTTTTTTCTAATATTTTCACTAGCCTGACTTATGAACACAAGTTT